GTGCCAAATAAAATAAAACACGCTTGAGTCCGAAGCTTTGGATCATAACCAAAACATCTGAGATTACACCTAATGTGGAATTTTGCCAAAGATCCAGCACACAGCCACAAGTTCAAAGAAAACCGGGAACACAAGGGAAACCACAGYGGTGCAGTGGTCCATCAGATGGAACACGTAAACACCTCCCTAATGAGGAGGAGAGACAAATGACCAAATGTAGGCTACACTATATCAGAAAGGTTTCTGGTTGTAACTTAGTCACATGAGGGATCCCCAGAAGAAAGCAGACGATGCACACAATCAGGATGAGCAGCTCCTCTCTTTTCAGAACTCGCAGGATTTTAGGTCCAAACTCGTCCTTTAAGAAAGTTATACCAACCTCCATGTTGGCAAACTACAGAAACAACTTGGTTTTATTGTGAGCTCTGCATTTTCACTAAGGACTGAGACTTATCATCAGACTTAAACATGCAGTTTTATGTTAATGCTTAGACATATTGTCCCAAGTCGACTGGTTTGAGGAGGTGAATACCTGACTGTCGAGGCCACGACACTGCAGCAGGAAGAAGAACAGCGGGGACCAGAGCTGAAACACAGGCTTGGTGGAAAGGACCTCAGGGTACACAACAAACACCAAACCAGGACCTGAGACACAACAAAATCTGTGATGAGACAATTACATTACTGACCAAAACAGCTAAAAATCCATCATATCTCTCAAACATAACTAAGTCCACAAATCAGCACAAGCTAACCTCTCACAGATGTTTCATCTGTGAGGTGATAGATGTGTAAATAATACATTTGGCTGGAATGTGCATCACTTGTTTAGTGGCCTTTAAAGAATATTTATTAGATTCACTCACCACAGCTCAGCATTTAACACTAAAACATTAAATAAAGAAAAACTTTCCTAACAAAATAATTCAATTTAGACAATAAAAAAATGAAATAAACATGTTCCAGTTGTGACTCAAAACTACATAATCAGATTTATGTTTAAATCCATGATCATTCAGTCCATTTTATTCTAATTATAATTTAAGTGAAATCCTGGAACATAGATATTTGTTGTTATTATTATTGAATAGAGAGCAAATAACTACCAACCTTATATTAGCCCATTTTAATCAGCTTTGATCACGCTTCACAAGGCACATGCTCTGATGATGACAAAATAATCAAGAAAAAACGAGCTGCGGTTTCCAACAAAACAAAGAAAAGGCGGAGCCRTGTTCAGATAAAACTGTGTTAAAATGAACATGACTTCATTTCTTCATGATTTGTAAATCAAAATAAAATAAAATAAAGACACTTATTCCTCCAACATAAAAACACTAACTGTGACAGGACAGTTGCATCATCAGTAAGCAACATGGCTAAATGACTCTTGATGAGTCAGCAGTTTGTTCAACGTTTCACACATTATTCTTACTTTGGCAATGATTTCTGCAGTAAATGTTTAAGAGCAGCAGAGACTCTGACTGACTGAACGAACGCTGAGCTTTACTGCATGGAAAATAAATCTTATTTTGAGTTGATATCTAATCTGTACTTTTCACCTCTTCCCCATGACATCACAAGGGAACATCAGCTGGCTGGCTGGATGGCTGGCTGGCTGGCTGGCTGGCTGGATGGATGGATGGATGGATGGATGGATGGATGGATGGATGGATGGATGGAT